TAGTGATGAATCGTGTATGGGTTAGAAGCAAAGCCATTTGCTCTTTCTCCTTTTGATGATGGTTCATATTGTTTAAGGCCAAGTCAGAGATTGTACAGATTTGTCTTTGAGTAAATGAAGCTTCGTTTTCCTTGCAAAAGAACAGTTTGCTTTCCTACAACCAATTCATGAACTAGTTATTTCTCATATTGTATTTTATGGGGCCATCATAGAGACCTAGACTAAACCCTTCTCTTATTATTCCCATTGGAATCATTTCAAAACTAAATATTGTAAAATAGTGAAAGATCAAAGAAAGCAACAACCATTATAAAGACCTTTACAACTTAAATAAACTGTAATTCTGATGAATCAAAAAAAAAAAAAAAGCAGTTGACATGTTTGGGTAGAGAGTGGGGACACAAATGGATGAACTTGAGAGGATAAAAATTAATGCGTTTATTTATTTTTTGCTTTACTAACTACAATTAGATATAATAATGTGCGCATTATGCTACCTATCAAGTATTTTGAAATACCCAGCTTGCCCTTGTAGATGTATTTGTACTTATCTTACTTCATTTGACATTTCTAGAGGAGATAAGGGCTTGTTTTCTATTCTGCTTCTTCAGCTGAAGGAATATAAATACAAATATATACAGTGTAAATACATACAAATACAAGATTTTGCACCAGATTTGTATTTGTAATCCTTCCAGACTGAGCCAGCCTTAGGTTCTTTTGTTCTGTTAGGTCTGAAAACAAATCCTACCAGTCTACCACACATGTGAAACAAAAAAAGGGTTAATTTTGTCATTTTACCTTTTCCGTTAATGCTGCATAACTTATACAAGTTTGGGGGCCGGAGGGGGATATTTGCAACTTTTGATCAATTAGGTAGTAAAATGACACACCTCCTGACCTTCATACCCATATACCCATAGTGTGTATATATGGGGGGTGTTTGGAGTTTACCCTTGAATGTACTTTACTGATGTATTACAAAGTAAAGTTTCCAAACGTCTCTTCATTTGTTAGAGGGGTATGTCATATGTGAAGACTAATGAAATAAAGATCACTGGAAGAGTCATGAATAAACTTGTATTTTTCTTGAAACAGGTGGGACACCATAAGCCCATATGGAAAATGTGTACGTCCCATGCATCTGCCATTAATGGTGAAATAAATCCACACCTAGAAGCCCAAAATACACTTAGCCCTTTGGATTCCATCTGAACGATTTGTTTATCTGTAACTGTGTGATGTTTCAGAGACAAGAGCACGTGATTGCTTGTGAAGCATACTGTGTGTCAAACTGTCAACTACCGTATGTGGTGAGAATTGATTAGAATGCTCTCATTTGTTATTTCCAAGGTTCCATCGCTCTTCTGTATCATATGATATGTATCTAATTTTAGGGCCATCGATACACTAAGGCTGCGTTTTGTCAATGCAAATATGTAGAATGTAAAAGGAGTCATATAAATTGTAAAGTTGGGTTAGTTTTGCATCGATAAATTTATCTTCTTACCAAACAGATTTTTAGCTATAATGAATGCAAATATAAATTCTAATAAAGCATATGCCTTTTTCTTTTTTTATCAAAGGCCTATTTGAATACAAATTTATTTCTTTTCTATTTGATATACTTTTACATCTTATTATCAATGTAAATATGCAGTAGAAAATGTATTTTCTGTCATTTGTTAATGCATAAATGTAATGTTGTCAAATATAGGCAAAAGTGAACTAGAGTACAAATTTACCCTGAACTGAGATTTACCACACCACCATCACATGTATATCTCATAGTCTCAACCACGCTACACAGATTGTAGTCCCATAATCCATTATGGTACATTGCACGTATATGTAAAAGACCTAATTGCGGGAATGGAATTTTTGTATATTTCAACCGTTTTAAATATTGATGGAAGATTTAATGTATTCAGGGCAAATTGCCATCCGAAAAAATAATAAGAAACAAAAAATTTCGAGGGAATGAAATTCTTCATACATAATTTTTGATTGAGAGTATTGATACTTTGAACCTTGGTTATTCCTATCTGTTCATTATTCACCAAGTAATGATGAAATGTTAGTATTGGGGGATTCTTTGCCTAGTTGGCTGGAACCTTTTATTGCTATTTCTCTGGTTTGAATGAATTATTATTTTTTAAAAGAAAAAAATCAGAAAATAAAAAATTATTAATTTTTTATGCTAAAGCTAAAATGGCAATAGACACAATAAGGACATGGATGAGACATGAGAGTGCTCATTTGGTCACCCCTCTTTAAATTGGGAGATCAAACCCGTGCCCAATAAACGCCCACATGCACATCTCAGCGTGAACACCTCCTGAAATTATCAATGGGAAATGTTCTCAATACACAATTGAGATACTCTGGGGGTTTGTGGGGCGCAGATGTGATCTCTTAAATTGGCCCTATGTATTCACTTACCAATCGTATCGGAAAGTACTGTTTGGGTTAAATGGAGCTGAAAGTTGGTACTTGGCAATCTGGCATAACTCCCCTATCCGATGAATTCTGCTTCAGTCAGGGCAAGGGGAAAGACCCATTTATTCATTAAAAAAAACAGTTTTACAAAAAAAAAACCATTAAAAAGACAATAATTCTTACTTGAAATCATAAACGTGGTAGCAAATCAAATGTTATTTATCAAAATTCATATTATAAATGTGGTAGCGAATCAGATGTTATTTATCAAAATTCATAGGTGAGTTTTGATTGGCCAAAACTCTTTTCATATCATATTTTTCCCGTTTCATAGATTTTCCCTAATTACATTTTATTTTTGTTTCAACTGTAGTAATTCTACTTTTATTACCATAAAGGAAATGTAGAGCTAATTTCAAAGAGTCCCCTCAATTTTAATTAATGCTTCACCCCTGATTTTGGAAATCAGCTTGTCAAATAAGTTTATGATCTTTGTACCTACGAAAAAAACATATATATCAAATTTCAATGGTTTTAGTTTGACAGACTTTCTTCTACAGAACTGAAATTACAGATTGGACCATGTAAGAACTATTGGATAATAATAATAATAATAATAATAATAATAATAATAATAATAATAATAATAAACTAAGGATGAAATTTAAATCATCAGTATATTTTATGGGAAAGAATGAAATCTAATCCATAATTTTCATGATGAGAAATCTGGTCATTATTTTGACATGGGCTAAACATTTGGACCCCAAGACACATGTAAGCTGTTTATGGGTCAATTTTTTCTCCTTATTTGGGGGAAGTTTTAGGTCAAATTTCAGAATTTGAAATAATTATCACATTCTTTGAATGGTCAAATACCCAAAATAGAAAAATAGATGAGGAAAAAAAGGGGGAAGAAAATAGTCTACAGATCCGACCAGTCAAGGGAATGTGATAGACTAATAGATGATTAAGATCACTAAATTGGGATCAATTTTATGACCCGGGATACTGAATGGGAGTTGAGACCCATTGAAAGTTGAATTAGACCTTGAGAGAGAGAGAGAGAGAAAGAGAGAGGAAAAATCTTCTCTCCCCAATTCATGATTGGCAGCTCTAATGTCCACAAGCTTTCAAATTTGATCCACCCTTGACCCATTGAAGGATAAGTGGAGCCAGATAATGTGATGTACCTGCAACACATAATTGTACTGGTACAAGATATCTTGCCCTCAAAATGGTTTCACTTGTTACTTGGATGGACTACCCAATCAATTGGGAACCACAACAACAACCACCCATTAACCTGCTCCTACTCAATTTATCATATCCATTCATTGATCTCAATCTCAGATGAGTAGCCTGTAGCCTGCTTTAAGACAAACACTCAAACCTTTATAATAGTTTATGGATTGATTGTAGGGTCATGATCATGGGCCAAAGCTGGGCCCATCAAATGGGCGATCAATATTTAAGCATCGATTATAGGGGTGTCCATGAAAAATCGAAAAATCTAATCGAATTGAGAAAATCGAATCGTAAAATGTGGTTAACCAAACCGGTTGTTTCAGTTTCGGTTTAGAATTTTTGAAAAATCGAAGGATCGGTTTGGGTCTTTGGTTAACCTATAAAAAATTGACGGTTAACCGAACCGACTAGTATATATATTTATATGTATATTTTATAAATATTTTTAATATGTCACATATTTTTTTATGTATTTTATATAAATATAATATAATATCATTATATTATATTTATAATGATCTATTTACAAATATATTATATATTTTTAAAAATTTTAAAATATATTATATATTATTTATTATTTATAATATAATATTATATATATTTATATAATATATATTATAAATATAAAAAACCAAAGAATCAATGAATTGAATCGGTAAAAAATCGAAACTGGCAGACCAGTTAACCAGTGATACTGGTTCGATTTCAGTTTGACAAAATGAAAAAACCGGTACCACCGGTTCGATTTACAAAAAAAAAAGCCATGGTTCGGTTAAGCGAACCGTGGACACCCTAATCGATTATACCTAATACAGTATTGGATAATGACTTCAAATAGAAGGAGAAAATGAAGAAAAATTTAATTTCACGTGAGTTGTGACCGTAGTGGGGTTCTTAATTAACGGCAAAACCGGTGAAGGAAAAGGAATCGTGGCGGTCATGGGTTTGCCGTTAGAATCTCTCTCTCTACATTGCTTCTTTCTCTGTACAAACTACGAATTACGAGAGGGAAAATAGAGAGAGAGGTGTTGTATATAATGCTGTAGAATATACATTGAAATTGGTTGTTTTGGATTTGAGTTTAGATGTTGGATCGAGTGTGTGAACTGATTACGACGACACTCAATCTCTTGCTTCCTTCCAAAACTGAGATTTCGAAGGAACCCGTAGCGAGCTTTCTTACCTTGAAGAAATCCGATTCCCTTCTTGTAAGTTTCTCCTATCTTCTTTCTTATTTCTTCTGTGTTTCTCTCTGTTCTTGCTTATGCTTTTAATCTGCTTGCTTTGGTTTTTGTTTCTTTAACGATTTTGATTGATCAAGGTATATCTTTTTTCTCTTTTCCATCTGGGTTTGTTCTAGTTTTGCTTTTCTCTCTGTTTCCCTTTTTGGGTACTTTGTTTTAATAAGTTTTTCTGGGTTGTTGGACGTGTTTTCTGAATCCGGTTTCAATAGTTTTCTTCTCCTTTTTCGTGTTTGTCAACTTTGTTTTTTTTTTTTTATTTATTTATTTCTAAGGTACTTTTAATCAAAGTTTTTTTATAAAGGCACTTCTTCTTTTCGAGTTCTCCCCCTCCCCTTTTCTTATTTTGCCTCTACTTTTTTCTGTTTCCATGTCTTTTGATGATTCCGGCTGTGGGTTCAGCTTGAATTTTGGCTTTGACTGGTAACAATACCACAAACCACCCCCATTCTGTTCCTTTCCCCACAACTCTCCTTTTCTATTCTTCTATCTGTTTTAGTTGGCTTTTAATGTTCTCATTTCAGTCCTATTCTTGCTTTTTTCTTCGTTGTTGAAGGTAAATGCTTTATCTTTCCTTTCGCATTTCCTTTTCGTTGTGGAATTTTGTTCTTATTCTTCTATTTGATGGTTGAGTTGCCATTTTTGTTGCAGCTTAATTACTGGTTTTGATCTTAGAAGAGGTACTCCTTCCTTTCTTGCATTGTTTCCTAACTTTCATTTTCATTCATTGCTCATTTACCTTACCAGAACTCATTTCTTTTCCTTTTGAATTGCAATTTTGTCTGGATCCATTCAGTTTTGATTTTATTTACAGGAGTTCTGGAAAAGGAGAAGAGGTTGCAGAAAGGGGTTTATCGCTGGTTTGTAATTTTACTTTTTCCTATTATTTCTTGAGTGTTATTTGAGGATGGGAGATCATTTTGTGCTGCTGGTCGATCGGTTGCTCACTGAATCCACACTGGAAGCTGCAATTGAGAGCAGAAACGGATCTTTACAAGCCACAGCATCAGCAGTTGAAGCAATGGCAACCCAATTCTCTCCCAGTAAGATGGATATCAGTCAGGTGTCATCTCCTAGAAAATTGGTGGAGTGCAGAATTTGCCAGGATGAGGATGTAGATTCAAACATGGAGACACCTTGCTCTTGCTGTGGCAGCTTGAAGGTTAGTTGAAATTTAATTTGCATTTCTTTTTTCTTTTTGCTAGTTGGATTTTTTTTTCATCGCCCATAGTATAGTTTTGTTGGTCTGAAATTTTGAAATATTCTTGGTTAACTTTTTTTTTTTTTTATTTATTACTTTCTGTTTCTTATACTACATACAATTCCTAAACAAATGCTACTAGACTTATATTATTCTTGTTTCTTATTTGTTGAAGCATTTCTGCATTTGGAAGCATCTTTGATTTCCAATTATCAAAGTTGTTCCCCTGGGTTCCTTTTCTTTCTCAAGAAGTTCCAAAGTATTCTCGTTTACCTGTTCAAGTTTGACTGAGTTGTGAAATTTCCTATCAAAGGTCTTGTCTGAACATTGGATATTGGAAATCAATTTGGAACATGTAATGATGCATTTCCAAGAAAAAAATGAATACCGTGAAATGCTAAGATAATGTTTAATTTGCTTTTGACTTCTGTTCAAAATGACCATATCAATTGAATTAATTTGTTATATGCTGAACAAGTTTCAGTCTTATCTTTGACCTCGGTTTATAGCTTCTTCTTCACAATATAAAAACGCATTTTGGCTTTCCTGCTTCTTTAACGTGTAGTAATCTGTGTCTTTGTAGCTTTAACTTGGAAATTTAGTAATAGTCATAAGAATTCAAAAGCAAGAAGCTATGGGGAAAAGATCAACTTTCTGAAGATATGGGGAATCAAACTTCTCTCATTTTTACTGCCTTGGAGGATACCTCTTGGCCTTGATTCAGCCTGCACTTTGAGCTACAAAGCTTAGTATGAGATCTAGCCCAACCATCATGCTTCTTACTGATCTTTTGAAACCAAATGATGCTTAGTATTATCATATAAAACATAAAATATCGATTTCATAGACCTTTCCAATATGGTTGTCTGTGAATCCCTTTTTATTCAGGACTTACAAATCTGAGATTGCCAAACCATTTATTCAATTACGATCATCTAGACAGTAAAATATTTTGCATTTAGGGGGAGTGTCATTGTTATTTATTAATCAACATCTTTATCTATCTTCCACTTTTTGGCATTTTAACCTGTTATATTGATCCATTTTTCTTTCCACCCAAGTTTTCCTTAGCCTATGTTTGGTTTGACAGTAAGCCGGAGAGAAGCAGAAAGTTGAGGGAAAGTTCTTAATAAATTTTGTCAAATTCCTTAACAACTTTCCCTCAACTTTCTGTTTCTCTTGTATTTTCTACAAAACCAAGCACAGCCTTAGGGATTATATCCGGATTTACTTTGATATCATTTACTTCTTAACTGTTATAGTATGCTCACCGTCGATGCATCCAAAGATGGTGTAACGAGAAGGGTGACACCATGTGCGAAATATGCCACCAGGTGTGTGATTTTCTCTTCAGTTTAACCATAAAAAAACTTTGATCTTATTGATTGATATGGATCTTTCCTAAGATACTCTCCTCTGAATTTGTGAGATTTCAGCAATTCAAGCCAGGTTACACAGCACCACCTCAACTGTTCCGCTATGGAGGTATACCTATGAATTTCAGGTATCCAATGAGTTAGGATTCATTTTAGTTACGACTTCACTATTTGAACTTGGACCTACTGACATCTCCTTTTACCAGAACAATTCAAGTTATGTTTATGGATATGGTGTTTCTTTCAGGGGAAATTGGGAGATTTCCAGAAGGGACCTGCACAATCCTCGATTTATAACAATGGTAGCAACAGATCGCAGTTTCCTGAGTCCTGACTATGATGAATATTCAGTTTCCACTTCAAGAAGCCTGATTTGCTGCCGCACAGTGGCTATTATTGTACTCTCTCTCTCTCTCTGTGATCCAACTGTCCATCATATAGATAATTCTCTGGTTCTTCAATGTGTTCGGTACCCCTGTCCACACAGCTCCCTACACAGTCTTTATTGGTGTGCTTCCTAACTGAGATTAGCCATTCAGAGTCGCAATGCTTTTAGTTTCAAAGTTGTATATGAATTTGATACATGAATAGAGGGTGGCTAGAGGAACGAATGTGACCCTTTTGGGCCTCTATCATCTTTGCCCAATGGGAGATTCTTTGGACATTTAGAATCTTTAATTGAATGACCTGATCAACATGGTTGCTTCCCATTGAAGCACTTTTTGTTTTGCCAAGTCAAGGGATAATATTGCCAATTAGAACCATCCATCAGACAAGGGACCTTTCGGATTTGCCATGCATGGACTTCCTCGATGCAAAATTAAATTTTTAATTAAAAAAAGAACCTACAAAATAGAACTTATCTTGGACATGTGGCAAAGGCTTCTAGGCTCAACATTTGCCTCATGGATAGAAGACAGTCAAGAAAATATGTGGTGACCTTTCAGGCCCCAACTTTGCTGCCACATCGAAGATTCCTGGGCGGGCCATTGGGAGTTGCAGTAGAAGACCTTGTTCCATTTCATGTACATGATATTATTTTACCTGAGAGAATGGTTCTTAAGCTGATTGTTTCATCCTGTAATTCTGTGTAACTGTTTATTTCTTCTTTCATTTCCTTATTCTTTGCAGTTCATGGTTCTTCTGGTTCTAAGACATGCTCTTCCAGTCATAGTAAGTGGGACAGGAGAGTACTCGTTCACATTGCTCATGGTAAGGTTGGCTGGTCACAATTTCTGTCAAATAGAGATATTGAAAAACATTTTCATACGACAGTATATGAATACTGCTGCTTATACTACTTGATCCAACAGATGTTGCTTTTGAGAACTGCTGGAATTCTTCTTCCAATCTATATAATGTTGAGAGCGGTGATTGCCATTCAGCGTCGTCGCCAACAACTGGTATTCAATATTTTTTCTCCCTATTGATAAAGTAATTGATTGCCACAAAACACCAACACAACTTTGTTGTTTTTTTTTTTTTTTGACTTTTTAGGAGATTCCCACCTTGTCCACTGCATCTGAAGGAGAAAATGAGCAGTCACAATTGCAGTCTCAGTCACATCTTATTCGTATGCACTGAACTGCTCCACTGCTGACACTTGAAACAATCTGATGATGGCTGATGAAGAACGACATTTGATGACCTTCAGCCATTGCATTGTGATAAAAGGAACCTGCTAATCATTAGTTGGCTTCATTAATTCTGTGAAGGGGGCAGCATCTGTCATCATCTGTAATTAATATCAGATGAGAAGGAAAAACTAGAGCTTAGAATGAAGATGGTCGAAGCAGCCAAATACTGCAAAATTGTGCTTTGTCTTACCTTGACTACAAAAAGGGAAAAAAATCATCCTCCATCCTCTTCGAGACTAAGTGAATGAGCAATCCATGTGTTCATTTGTAATGCAGTTAGCATTTTAGTTGCATGCAGTGTTAGTTCAAACATCTGGAAATTACTGTATAGCCAGGAATTGTATATATAAAGTTTTCAAATGAAAATATTAAATACAATCAAAGATGAAAGCATAGTTCCGTACATGCTCTTTAATTAGATGTTAATGAGCCATATTTTATTTATGAGAAATGGAGGTATTATAGTGTGCAATACCCTAGGGAATGATGGTTGAATTGGTCCAGAACTAGTATAGTTGGGGTTAAGCTTTATTGCTGATTATGTTTGGAATGCAGTAGAATAGAATGTATCTTTCAACAAACAAAGATGAATAGTTAAATCCATTTACTAGATTTTGTTTAATAGTTTATGATAAGATATATGTCCACCCAGTTTAAAATCCCAGGAAAATGGAAATGGGTTCTTTCTTCATGTCCATGACACTCATCTTTGATGGGTCCTAATAGTTTCGGTCACATTGTTAATGGTGGACTTTGCAGATAGAGGTTGGGCACGTGACTGCAATGAAAATGAAAGCAATAATTGGGACAAGCCAAGCTTTTCTATCTTTTCTTTTTCTCTTTTCATCTTTTCCATTGTTGTTACAGGTGGGACCAAAAAACCAGTTGAAGTCTTACCGCCTGAAAGGTCTCTTACCTGCTCATCCTTGAGAACCATCCCTCAAGTATTGAAAACAGAGCTGGTGATGCACACCAACTCTCAGCATTTTCACTTTAATCCCATTTCACAACACCAAAAGCGATAGGTATAGGTAGAGCCAAGATGATGAAATCTGCTTTAAAGTTTTAAAAAGGTGTCTAATAATACGCGCTTTCATGTCAATTTTGCTGCATAGTACGCTATCCATGTAAGATGTAACAATAAAGGAATAGAAAAGAAAAAGCAGTTGCAATACCAGTCTCAGCCACAGATGATTAATGAGCACTAGGCTTCTGACATCTAAAAAGCTTGACTACTTGTGATGAACCATTTAGATCAGTGGTTGGCATCGTTAGTCGTCATTTGAGAAGGGACAACAATTCTTTGTCCGTCTGAAATCAATTAAAAACACAATGGATAGCCGGGAATTAATACACGAATATCAATGAATCAATCAAGTAGTAGTTCCATACTCTGTAATATTAGTTCCAGAGGGTGTTTCTGAACTCTCGTGGGGGTATCTAGAATGAACCTAGGAAAATATAAGAAAAATAAATTTGGTCCAGAATTAATATTATTAAGCTTACAAAATCGGTAAAATGCTTTTTACTCGTAGCTTTTTGTAAAGAGTCCACTTTAAGGATAAGACACATCAAACTATTTACAATCCTAGAGGACTGGAAATTTGTTATTTCTGATGCTTTTCATCAGAGACCTACCTAAATGGGGGCCTCTCTCAAGATTGGGGATACATTGTTAGAGCTCTGACGAATGGATTGAAATGAATGCAGAGTTTGGGGCAAACCAAATTTTTTGGTATTCTTTTTCCTTGGGAGTGCTGAATGCTCATCACTAATGTTCTTTTCCTTTATGGATTTCTACTCACCCTTGAGCTCCTTGTGTTCTTTGTGCAGATAATAGAACAAAATAGGGAAACCTGAGAACCCAGAGGCTAACCTTAGAGGCTATGAGAATGATGCTTCAGATTGGCCACTTCAGTGATAAAGTGGTGATAGAAAAACAAGGATCAGTGGCAGATAGGCCGAAGATAACAACATAGGGACCTATTTTCTCATTCTTTGACAGTTTGCAACAGACAAGGTGGTCTTGATATGGTTTTAGGCAACCTCCAGAACTTGTACCTTCACATTAACGCCGATGCATCATTACCTTGTCATATCTATATTGTTAGCAGATTGCTGTATTAAGGAACTCTCTGTTGTATCTCATATTGATTTTCTTCCGAATTGCTCATCAGATTGAATGCAGTCTCACATTCACAGACTGTTCCACTCTTCTCATGCTTCCATAACAGTCGGTTGTGGACTTGCTAACTGCTATTGAATTCAGAGAGTTTAGAACGATCTGAAATTTCTGAATCAGGATATATAGTATAAAACTATAAATACATAATACAACCGGAACAAACAGCTAATAGGTGTCTGGACTCTGGATCTGTGTGTGGGAAAGAAGACAACGGATAAATTAATTGCAGAAGCAGAACTGTGTTATTCAGGCATCAAATTAAATAAAAATAACATGAATTGAGGAGATCTAGAGTTAGCCAAGCAGTTAAGCACCTGCATGCTTTTCTGATTTCAAGTACAATCAGCAAATCAAATGTTGGCCGATTTACTTTGTTCTTCTCTGTGAGGGAGAGAAGGAATAGTTTTTAGACCCACTTGGGAAAAGTCCAGGTACTCCTCCAAATGCCATCTTCAAGTCCTGTTACATCAAAAGCATTTTACCCAAGCACACCAGAGTACCAATTGAAGTCATCTATTATCAGCAGCCTCCTCAGCTGCAAGTTCAGAAAGGATTCGAGTTATTTGTTCTAGGCTTCTAGCCATTTAATGCCTTCAACATGTCAATTATAAAACCTTGAAATATACTTCCTGTTAATTCAAGTAATATGGGTAGCATCTTGTCATCACATTTGGGATCCGAAAGCTACTTCATAAACCAACTTATGCTGGGTCGGAAAAGGCAGAACTCAATTGGTATGCCACAAATCAACCCAAAGATCATAACCAACTTATGCTGGGCCAGAAGCAAATTCCTTCCTTCTTTTGTTCTAGATCACAAGGCTGTGAATATCCATTTCTGTTGACTCATGAGCTAATGAGCTTTCCATATGTATCCATCACCCATTCTATACACGAACCTGTCTCAATACTCAATGCCTTATACCTGTCTTTCAAGTCTCAAAAGAACCATGCTCTGTAGTCGCACATTTGGGATCCAGGAAAGTAACATCAGGGAAAATTTCCTCTGGTTCTCAAATAACTCTCACATGCAACAGGAAGCACTGCATTGATTTATATGAGCTTAATAGCCAACAGTAATAGTTTACCTTAACAAAGTACACAAAGTTAAAGGAAAGCTCAAAAAAATAAAGAATCAAAAGAGAGTAATGCTGCAATGTCACTTCACTAATAATTTTCAAAATTATAATTATGAAACATTCAGCTAAGAAATATATGGTTATTAAACAAATCTATACATTTCATTGCTATTACAAGAAAAAATGAAGGGAACAAAAGGTATATAGAAGTGGAGCTCAAGTAGGCAGTATGGCTGGTTAAGTTGTTGTGTATCATGAGCCCAACAGACCATGCTATGCACCTTAATTAATGGCAACGCCTGGTTTTAATCTGGTATAATCTCAGCTTCAGTTCCTCCTTCGCCTGAAATGTTGGGTAAAAAAGGAAAATAAGAATATCAAACTTCCCAATGAAACTTGACAGCCCTGATACCCACTAACGCCATTTCTTTTTTCCTTAGCTTTTAATAGAGCACTTAAAACATGATGATTACCATACTACTAATCATATGTTCTTTAAAGAGTGTAGTTGGTAAAAGTACTTCCGATTCTTCTGCTGGGACCGCCAGACACAAGCGAGTGCTCCAAATGCACAGCTGGCAAGAGCAATGCCTAATGCAGCTCCTACAGGCACTGCAACTGCACTTGTTGATGTTGCCATATCATCAACCAGAGACCTCTCATTTCCGCCAACCCCAAGGAGACCATTGTCTTTGTATGATGACACAAGCATATTACCATAGTAACCAACCAAGAACTTGAACACCGCATCCAAATTCCATTCAACCTGACTGGTGCCATCACTTTTCTTTTTCAGGGAGCGATAACAAGATGGGCAGAGCTGCTTTGGTGGCCATAGCATCTTTGGGAATTTTGGGTCACCAGTCCCCAGAGACTCCTCTTCTTTCTTTAGCCTTTCATTTACTTTGTTGTGTGTGTCCCATAGCCATAGGGCAAACTGGCTTGTCTTGTTGAAAGGATAAGAAACACTGCAAAGAAAAATAAAATCCTAGTGAGAAGATCTTAAGAGAATGTGGAGAATGTGAAGATAACCAATTACAAGCAGTTCAGGTTCTCTCACGTTGAACACATCTCATAGAAATGTCTACGGCACTCCTGGCATATGAAAAAGTTGTGAATGAAATCACAAATGGCTGTAAATGCTATGTGGCTTTCTCCATCTTCCAGCCTAACAGATAGGGAATGTAATAGAACCCATAACCCACAGCTGCAAAGCAACAAGAAACTACCTGAGCCAAACATGAACTCCCAACTCAGATGTATTGTGAAATGCTCAAAAATTTTATAAAATGTGAAGATGTGAGGCAAGTCGTAAGGATGCCTCCAAATGTGCAAGGCATAAACGTCAAGGAATGGAGTTAAGCCTCATTAAAAGGATTATAATAATCTATTAATGATTCTCAGTAGCCAAAAAAAATCTATTAATGATTCCATCAGATAACCAAATAAAGGCATAGTATTTCTATCTATTTAGGCATCTAGATACCAAAAGGTTAGTCTCGTTTAACAAGGTCCTGAGAGACACAAAAATTGATGCCAGGCTGGGTCTCCCTCCAACCCAGGGACAGATCAACATGAATTTGGATGGTTTGCCATGGGTAATCAAGGATCACCTATTGGAGGAGTCTTCAAGGGTTGGGAGGAATTTCTGGTTGTATTTTAGACCCATTGGTGATGATGATTTCATTCACGCAGAGTCTATCACTACTACAGGTACTTCATTTAAAACTATCAGTATAACTCTCTGCAAGAATGCCAAATTTAAAAATAAATTTTGAGAAGAGTTGCATTGCTGGGATTAACATGGCTGAAGGGGAGATGGTAGAGTGTGAAAACATTTTGGGGTGTAGCATTGTCCAATGGCCTCTGACTTACCTAGGTCTACCTCTTGGAGCTAATCCTAAAGAAGTCAGGTTTTGGAACCCGATGATAGAAAGATTTACCAAAAGGCTTGCCTCCTGGAAAAAAAAGGGTATTTATCAATAGGAGGAAGGATTACCTTGATCAGGCCTACTCTTTCTAACCTACCGGTTTATTACTTGTCAGTGTTTAAAATCCTAATAGGTGTAGGAAAGAGATTAGAAGATAATGAGAGATTTCCTGTGAAAACCAAGGGAAGGTAAGAGGGATCATAGGATAAGGTGGGAACTGGCTTGTAGTGATAAAAATAAATGGGGGGGGGGAATAGGTAATATACAAAGAAGGAACACTGCTCTGCTAGGGAAATGGTTGTGGAGAATGCCTCAAGAGAGAGACAAATTATGGGCAAGGGTGACCGCAAGTATTCATGGGCTTTTGGATAATGGATGGGATGCTGGAACATTGGCAAGGGAAAATCAAGCATCTCCTTGGAAGGCCATCAATAAAATCCTACCCTTTTTCCTTCCTTACATTAGATTTGATTTCTGCAGTAAAAATGGTATTTGCAGAGAAGATGGGCCAAATGGCCCATAGGCTGTTTATCTTTTTTATCTTTTATGTTTTCTGCTGTAATGGGCCTTAATCTGAGCTTTATTCTTTCTTATGTTATGTTTTTTAATTTTCTGCCCAACTAGGGGCCTCTCTGTAAATTACTAAAGTTTTAACTTAATGAAATGGAATTAGAGGTGTAAGAGAGGACGTTATGTTCAAAAAATCTCTCTTTGAACCCTAGTTGTCGCCACCTTCTTCTTCTTCTTCTTCTCTCTTCTTGCAACTTGGTTTCTGCTACTTTCTTTTGATTTTCTGCAACTTTTTAAACAGTCCCTTCCTTTCAAAAGGCTGTTTTTCTTCTTGGTATCAGAGCAGGCTCGACTTTTCCCTCTTTTCACCTCTTTTTTCCCATACACAGTGTGTATGGAGAACTGAATCGTATGAATAGTTAAATAAACCTATTTCAGCCCAGTTGTTAGTGGTTTCTGGAGAGAAGGGGACTGGTTTTGTCGTCCTCCTGACAGATTCAAGTGTGTTACCCAAAACCCTAATTTTCTAGAGAAATCTGATTGCGGGCCCCACAGGGAGTTTGACTTGGGCGCTCAGTGACTGAAGGTCTTCTCATCCTTCATCTTGAAGATTGAATAAGTGGATTGGTGTTCTGTGAAGTCTACAAGAAGCGGCTGAGATTTCTCTGTTTCTCCCGGCTTCCGGGTGACGCAGGTACCTGGTACGGCTGCATAGAGGTTGGCTCACAACACAGTTTGTTCTGTCTTCATTTGTTGATATTTAAAGTTGTTAGAAGTTATTTTTGAAGTATTTAAGAAGATGAAAGCAAGCATGTTGCTGAATCCGGACAGGTTCCAGGAGCCTCTGTAGACTCTCTATTGGCTGTGACCACAACCAAGATAGATGGAACTAATTATCTAGCTTGGTCACAATCAAGGTTTAAAATTTCACAACGTATCGGATCGTATCGGCCAATACATAACGTTCTGGTACAAGTCCGATACACGGTACACATAGAAATTATTTGTAGCGTTCATTTTCGTATGCATCAGTTTGTATCGAACCGTTTTGGGCCCTGTATCGGACTGTTTCGGGTCTGTATCGACCGATACGGTTCCGAAACAATCCGATACAACCTAATACAAGTCCCCTTCTCTCTCATTAATTTCATTAAATTATATTTAAGGTCGAATTACCTCTCATTAATTATATATTTACTCCTATATTTAAATGAATTTCTCTCTCATTAATTAGTTAATTACTCCTATAATTAATGCATAATTTTAAATTTGAATTGCAGTTTTAGCGCCTAATTGGAATTCTCTTCTCATTAATTTCGTTAATTAATAACCCTCTTTCTCATTAAATTCGTTTTGTTAGTATAAAAACTAGAAATTAGCAATAGAAAGATTCGAACCCTAGACATTAAGCTTTAAGACCTAGAGGTTCACCACTAAGCCACGCCCTTTTGCTTGGTATTTGTTTATGCATTTTTATTTTTAAGTAATTTTTCTCTTTTTCTTAGTATATGCTTATCAATAAATGTTAGAATTAATTATTAAAATTTATGTATTAATAAATATTAAGATAAATTATATTGATCATTTTAAAACTAATGTATATCAATATACATTTTAGTTTTTTTTTTTTTTGGTTTTTTCACATTTTAGTTATTCCATCATTTGTCAATAGTTACTAAGTGTGTCTCGATATCTCGAATTTTATATAGACCATTAAATTACAGTTTTTTACTTTTAAATAACTTATTTACAATCATCTAAAACTTGTAACTATCGTTATTAATATGTTTTTTAGAATTTATTTAAACTTTTTAGCATATTTATGCGTATCTTGATTTTTCGTCCGGATCCATACGTATCCAAAGCGTATCAAGATACGTCTCCTAAAATTATCTTTCCGATACACCTTACGTTTCCGATACTTTGAACTTTGGTCACAATCAGTAAAAATTCATATTTGCAGTAGAGGCAAATGGGGTTTTATCTCCGGGAGCAAGAAGGCTCCTTCGGAAGATGATTCATCATATGAAAAATGGATGCAAGAAAATTATATGGTTATTGGATGGCTTGTGAACTCAATGCAACCGCAAATTAGTCAGCTCTATTTGTGGATGAATTCGGCAAAGGAAATTTGGGATAGTGTTGCTGAAACCTATTCCTAAAAATTAAATGTAGCCAAGGTTTACAAGATGAGAAGTGACGTGAAGAATTTGAGACAGGGGGAGAAACCATTAGCTGTGTATTTCTCAATACTGAAGTCTTTATGGAAAGAAATTGATTTGACAGAAGCTGTAGCCTGGGACACCACTAATGATGCTGAGACCTATAGGAAACTTGTTGAGAGAAACAGGGTGTTTGAGTTTTTGACAGAGCTGAATCCAGAGTATGACATCACAAAGCAAAATATTTTATCCAATGATATTGTTTCACTATCTCAAGCCTATTCCTTGGTAAGTAGTGAAGAAAGCAGTAAACTTGTCCAGGTCCAAGGGGCTGGTCTAAATGATCACTTTGCTAAAATGGGAGTGAAACGCAAGGGAGTTGCAGGGACTCCAAGTAGCTCAGGGAAGAAAGAAATTACTTGTGAGTATTGTAAGAAGCCAAAACATACTAAAGACAAGTGTTGGAAATTGCATCCTGAGCTTCTTCCTCTTCGGTTTCAAAAGAAGACTGATAATATGAAGGCAGGGAGTGCCAATATTGCTGCTGGTCTAGATAGTGACAGATACCAAACTGAAGAGATGACTACTAGTGAGCAGTTAGTAGCTATGAAGGTAGAATATGAGAAGTTTGGGAGGATGATCAATCACCTAGAGCGCGTGGCCTCTTCTTCCAACCCTCCAAGAAATTCAACCTCTTCTGCATTTGCTCATTCAGGTATACGGGCTTCTGCCAATCATACAACTATTTCAGGTAATTGTAGGATCCCTTGGATTATTGATTCTGGTGCTTCTGATCATATGACTAGCCTTTCCACTTTGTTTGTTTCTTATGATTTAGTTCCTAGCCGTGACAAAATCACCCTAGTCGATGGCTCTCTTGCCCCTATCTAATTGTAGGATCCCTTGGATTATTGATTCTGGTGCTTCTGATCATATGACTAGCATTTCCACTTTGTTTGTTTCTTATAATTTAGTTCCTAGCCATGACAAAATCACCCTAGCCGATGGCTCTCTTGCCCCTATCTCCGGCAAGGGAACCATCAAGGCTACAAATTCCTTGGTAATTCCTTCTGCTCTTCAATGTACCCAAGCTAAATACAAATTTGTTATCTGTAAGTAGCCTAAGTCATTGAACTGCTATATAACCTTCTTTCCTTCCTACTGTGTTTTCAGGATCTGGAGTCTCAGAAAGTGATTGGGAGTGGCCATGAGGCGAATGGAATATATCTGCTGGACAGAGCCATGAACAACCTGGAAAAGCTGCTTTTGGGTCTACATCTACAAAGTCCATCAGTCAAGTCATGTTATGTCATTTTTGTTTGGGTCATCTTTCTTTTTCTACATTAAGTCATTTATTCCCATAATTGTTTAAGGGAATTAGTCTGTCCAGTCTTCATTGTGAGTTGTGTGAATTGTCAAAACATTGTAGAAGTAGTTATCCTTTGAGTGATAAAAGATCTCCTTTTCATATTGTGCACTCTGATGTGTGGGGGCCTTACCACTTACCTTCTATGGGTGGCTACAAATATTTTATCTTGTTCATTGATGACTTTTCTCAGTTCACTTTGATATTTTTTATGAAGTCCCTAGACTTGTGAGGCAAT